CATCTCTCTCACAGTCATGGTGGTAGGATGACAGCAGAGTCCCTGAAGTTAGCTGTTATGTGACTTCTGACTCTAGAGCAGCTCATGCTTACATAATGAACTCTTTCCCCAAATGGTTTCTGATTATATCACTCTAGGTTATATCATTCTGAAAGGAGTCACTTTCACAGTAAAACCCCACACTGCATTTACAGTTTAAATGAAATGTGGGTTTTGCAGAGCTGGTTCTGGGTTCATTGTTTTTCTCTGGGGTTGCAGAGCTGTCTGGCTTACTTTGCTTTTGTGGAAATAGCAACTGCTCCCTGAAGCTAGGGTTAGTGCTCCAGATGCTTCATTCTTTTCTCTGTGTTGTCTTCAGTTTCTCTGTGGTTTCTAGTTTTTCTGTTGGCTCTTTCTTAAATCCTAAAGCTCTATTTTTTTCTTCACTAATTTGGTGTTTTCCATGTGTCTCAACTAAAATGCAATCACTTTATATTTTGATGCTAATCTTTATTCCACAATTTTTAATGCTCCCATTCCTTGACTTTTAGAATTCTTAGGTTATTTTTTTAGAGTTACCCATGAGCTGTTGAATTAACCACTTATATTTGTTGAAAGTGATCTTATTCTTTTGAACCAGTAACCTACTAAATTATTTTTGTCTTCCAGTTCTGAAATTCTGGCTTACAATTGTTTATGTGTACTAGCATGGCTTTCAATTTCCAGAATTTCTACTTAATTCTTTTTTATAATCTTTAACTCTTTACTAAAATAGTCATTTGTAGCCTATGGTTTGTTCCTTAATTCAATCAGCTGTTTATGTCTTCTTTAAATTCTATGAATATCTTATTAACTAAATGCTTTTCTGATTATTTACATACTGCTTGAGCTCATTGAACATCTTATGTATTTTCTCATTTTTCCTTTGATCTCTTCAACATTTTAACCCTTTCATTTTTTAGTTCTTTGCCTGAAATATCTGTAGCTTCCTTATCGAAGAGACCAGCTTTTGGAGAGTTATGAGTTTTTGGAGGCATCTTATTGTCTTGTTTTTTCATGATTCCTGTGCTTTTCTGTTGAATGTTGTAGATAAGATTGGCTTGAAAGCTCTGGAACTGTAGTGGAGATTCCTAGCACTGAACTGCAAGGAGAGAAAGCTACCAATAATACCAACATCCAAAGAACTAATCATATACTAATATGAAGTTCAGAGCTTGTTTAGCAAATTTTTACCCCTTCCAGTAACCCTTGAATACAAATGATTAGTAATGGTAGAGAAAGGGGTGAGAGACAGATGATGAAATAAATAATTTAAAAAATAGCTAAGGAAGGGGATTGGGGAATGGTGGAGGAGGGAGGGAGGGATTGAAAAGAGGTATCGAGATATGTTATGTACATATCAATTTCCCACAAGGAATGTCAATATTACGTCCTACACATTGTACTAATAAACTAAAAAATAAAACAAAATAGCTAAAAGAAGAAAAATTTGGAACACAAAGACTGAACATAAACAAAAGCACATAAAAGAAAGAAAGTTTTTGAGAAGGGTAGAGGGAGAGGGACTTGAGGGGATATGTGTGGGAGCAGCAGTGTAGCTGCACTTGGCTTCTTCAGCTGGGGAGATTTTACCTTTTTCAAGGTGCTGTGTTCACCAAATCTGAGCTGTAAGCAGTGCTGATCAGGAAGCAGCCCTACCTTTCATTCTAAACACCCCAGTAACTGGGTTTCATCTGATGGGCTTTTCTTTCAAGTTGCCTCTTATGATTGAGTTTTTGCCTATCCCCAAGTGACTGATTACCTTTGGGTGGACCACGGTGAGCATCTCTTGAACAACTCAAAAACATGCTGTATAGTATTTTACGTACTGTGGAGGATACAAAACAAAGAATAAAAGCCAAAAACCAAAACAAAAAACCAAAGGCAGCCTTAAACTTTATGGAACTTATATGCACAGATGACAACTGCAAAGTTTCAGAAGTGCTTTAGAGGAGGAACAAATGCACTCAAATCAGTTGTGCTGGTGAGTAATTTTGGCTGGGATAATAAGAAGTGTTTCCCTATCAGAGGGGATATATAAGCTTGATTTTTTAGAGCAAAGGCAACAGTAAGAGGAAAGAGAAAGATGTTTCTAAGAAATGAGTAACAGTCAGCATTACGAAAAATAGAATACAAACAAAGGAAAAAAATCTACTGGTTGTTGACAGATTGTAGAGTCTTGAATGTTTTTTAGGCTTTATTTTTCAGGCAAAGTGAAAATTTGAGAGCAGTGGAGTAAAATTATCAAATAGCATTAACCTGGCAGCAGTTTGCTAAGTAAATCCAGTAGGAAGAGGTTGAAAGTGGGGACACTGGAGATGAGATGATAACAACTGAACACTGGTAAGTAGTGAACTATTTATTATTCTAGAATGGTCTACAGGCATTGAAGGTCTGACTTATTAGATTGTACAATCCTTTTATTTGGTGGTATACTTTAAAAAATAGAGTAGAATAGAATAAAAATTAGTAGATTTATTGTACACAGATAGTAAGAGTATATATTTATTTTACTGGGCATGTATGGGACTATGATATTAACTGTACTGTATTTATTGTGGATTGTGTTCAAAGTAGAGAAACTTCTCAGATGATAGCTTTTCATAAAAGTATTTTCATAGTAATGATTAATGATACTTAATTGTATTCATGGCAAGAACATGAGTGAAATTAATATAATCACTACTATTATTTTTTGGACCGTGCTGGAGATGGAATCCAAGGTTTTGAGCACATTGGCAGAGAAATTCTTCAAGCACAGTGTGTGTGGAGGTCAGGCTGTGTTCTGTATCGAAAACAGCTGCTCACCCAAGTGTTGCTTATTCTGTTCTTTCCTTTAGAAACATGATAGTAAATGTTCAGAGCATCGGTTAATTTTTTAACAATTTTATGGCTTTTTTAAACAATTGACTAACAGCCTTCAAAATCATGATTTTTCAATAGGGCATAATTTTGTCCCCTAGGGGACTTTGGCCGATGTCCATAGGTTTGTTTGGCTGCCATATTCTGGGGAAAGGGTACGCTAAGGGGATGGTAGGCTGCTGCTAAACATTCTGGAGCGGACAGGGTATCCCTTACACAAAGAATTTTCAAAGCCAAAATTATCAAGAGAACCAAACTTATGCAATCTTGCTTCAGAGTGGCACAAATTAATTATGATAAATTGAAGAAATGTATTTCTTTATAACAGCTGAGAGATTCAAAAATTCACACTTCTGGCCAACATGGACTCAGTAACACTGTTTACAGAATGCTCTGATCACCAGCTTTATTCAATTTAAAATGATATATCTATATTTTCTTACATGTGGCCCAAAATTAAATGCTGCATGCATAAATAGTTTATGAATACGCATTTCACAACTCCAGTATCATTTCTTGAATCCTCAGCACTAAAAGTGGTATATCTTACCACTACAACACGGAGTAATTGACATGCTCATGTACACTTCTTTATGCGAAGCAGCTGCGTCCTGAAATGAGTTCAGAGAATTGGCAGTCAGCTCCCTAAGTGAATCATTTAAAATTACAACCTTAAGCATTTCCTAATTTAAGACAGATTCAATACTTTTTACGGAAAACTTCATAGATCTAATGATTTATTACACGTAAGCAACCATGAAGATAGTTCGTAAGAAAAAGAGCACGTGGGACTCAGTGTGCAAATCATTGTCCTTTATATTTCTTGGCTTCAGTTTTCAGAACAGCAGAATAAGAGTATATTGTGCAATCTTTTCTAAACTTTAAAATTTCGTGAGCCTAAATTGTGGGTAAATTTTTCGTGAATAAATTGTGACTCTTTTCTGGATTAATTTCGGGTTCTCCTGTCTTCTCAGTAGTATGTGGAGGAAACGATAAAGTAGTTCCGCTGTGAAGCGGCTTGGCTTACATTTGTGCTGCAGAAGTAAATAAGGGCCAGCCTGCGATAGGCACTGCCAGGCAGAGTAATGTTTCCATGATGTCTTCATTTAATTGTAGCAAGGAATAGAACAGCCTAACTCTCCACGAGTTCCTGAGACACTTTACTTAGGAAGTGGTCTTTTTCAGACCACTTTGCGCCTGTGTTCCACGTGGTACTTACATTTTTATATTTATTTTAAAATATAATTTCTTAAAACACTAGGATTCTATGATTGCTGTAGCCCTCCATCAATAGGAGCTACTTGGTGGTAGAAATTCGAGGGGAGGAACCTTTCCCTTTTATGTAGAAAAGCCATGTTCTTTGGCTCTTCTGGTTATTAGTAAATTCTCAATGGTTTGCAGTCATTTAACCTCACAGTAATAATGGACAAAATCACCCCCTGGTGATCAACATATGTAAGTGCATCTTTAAAATAAATTCCTGGACCCATAATAACTTACCAGTTACCATCACCTTCCCCAAAATTTCATAACAATAATAATTTTTATTAAACAATTACTGTCTTATTAACCATATTTTCTCTAAATATATTTGTAGGGTGGTGTATGTATGTTTGTGTGTTAAAAAATTTAGAGTTTCATTCTACCAGACTTTGTTTCCTACCTCCTCTATAAAAGTGCCTAAAATGCTTTAAAAGCAGCTAATTTATTTATTGTGTTGGGAAAAATTTGGAAAACATGGAAGAATAAGGAAAATGAAAAAAAATTGTGAGTTTTGGAGAGATGGTAGGGAATTACTGAGTTTCCTGAACCTTTGAAAGTTCAGAAATCTTCTGACTAACACTGCAGCAAAGGCATCAGGAGACTCTCCCAGACTGTCTTCAGGCATTGGTCCTACCTCTGCATTATTCTCCGATTTACTTGATTTAAATAGCTGAATATTTCAGCTGTCATTTTCAAGCCAGGATAAACCGACCCATTATCTTACAAATAAAAGTTATCTTATAAATTAGCTATGCACTATTATTTAATCAATGCAACTCTAAACTAAATCATGGAAAGTGTTCCGTGCTGCCAGGTTGTCATTTAACCTCGCTGCGTTGTACCACACCCACTGAGTGTCGGGGTTCCATGCCTGTGGGACCTGCACGCAGCTCTTTCCACCTTTTCTGATGAGTTAGAGGCCTGTTTTTGAAGCAATCCAGCGTCGGTAATAAGTGACTTCTGTGTAGACTCCAGGTTTGTTCTTCTGACCGCAGTTATCTCCCCAGCTCACGATTCCAATGAGATACCAGGTATCTGTGAGATCGCTTATAACTAATGGTCCCCCAGAGTCACCCTGATGATTAAAAAAAAAGGAAAAGAAACAGAGAAAGAAAATCAGCTAAACATAATGCTTATTATTTAAGATATTTTGATGAACCATACAATCTATTATATGACATATGTATAGATAATCAATACAGACTTATCAACCAAGCAACTGAGACATGGATTTTGAAATTATCAATAGCATTAAGGTTCACTCTGCACATTTTACATTAAACTTTGTTTTTGTTTGAGTAAATAACACGTAGTTAAAAGCCAAAACAAAGAACATGAAAAAGCTTAGAAAGGAATTTTATATCCCGGATTTCCCCATCCAGTCCCAGATGTAGATACTTCGTGAATAATAATTTCTCACAATATCTAAATTCTTATCATCAAATAAAAGCACAAATGGCTATTTCCAGATTTACATTGTATCCACTGGTTTACTGCGGTGTAGGTGGGGGTTCAGCTATTTAAGAGCCTCATTAAAACTCCCCCTCACAATATCATTACCTCCTAGATCTCTCATTTTGGATATCCCTTTGTAAATGTTATTTATTGATGAGTTGAGTAACACATTTTGATTATGTTACCTTTCTTTGGCAGACTTTGGTCTCCTAGAATTAATAGGAATTCGATTTCCTTTTCATTTGGCTAGTTTTCTATATACCCGTGGCAAATGTTTGATGTTCAAAAGTCCATCAGCACCTAACGTAATTTGTATTAATATTCCATGATGTCATACATCAATTCTTTTATTTCCTCTGAAAATGTCCCCAAATCTCAACACAGACTTTGTCTTAATCTTTGTCTTTGTCTTTCTCTCTCATTTATCAGATACATACTTCTTTCCTTTTTTCTCTTTTAGAATAATTACATTAAGCCTCATGGGGAGCTGATTCTGAGGCTCTCACTATTCTTTTGTGTTGAATGCACAAATGTTTTGGATCCCTTAATTTTCTTTCTTTCTTTTTCTTTTTGTTGTTTTCCCCCTCATTTCACTGAAGTAACTTCTCAGGTGGTTTCCTAAAAAGGAGGGTATGAGTTGGACATTTTTTGAATCATTGTTGGTCTAAAATTCTTTATTCTTCCCTCAGACTTGATGTTTAGTTTCCATGTCAGGAATCTCAAGAGAAATCATTTTCCCTGGCTTCTATCTTCCAGTGCTGCTGTTGAGAAGTTCTGTGGGAGTTTGATGGTTCTTCCTTTAAAACTTGAAGGTTGTTCTTATTATCTCCTAGATTTGACATTTTACGATGACATTCCTTGGGAAGAATCTCTTTGGTTATTGTGTCCACTACCACTTGGGTTCCTTTCCTCAGTAGGACACATGTAGGCTTCAGAACTTCAGAGCTCTGACTGTTTTAGAACATTTTCCCATGCTTTCTGCTTTCAGAACATCTATTCCTTTGGCATTTGCCACTTTTATTTTATTTTCTAATTTTCTTACCTTCTCCTGTTTTCTTTTTTCACATTGAGTTTATTGGTACTTTTTAAGCATATAGTTACATTCATCATTGGGATCTTGTACTTTTACATGACAGATCTTGGTTCTCATTTTTTCTCTATACCCCTGCCCTCCCTTCACCCCCTGTAACCTCCCCTATTTACAAAGTCATTGTTTCCATTTTTTCCTTTTCTCATACTTTTTCTTGTCCCTTATTTCCTTTCCCCTACCCTTCCCACTTCCCCTACACCTTTAGCACTTTTCTTCCTAGTTCACATTGTTAATTATACAATTTGGATCTTAGTTACATTTTTAGTTTTTCACACCAGAGAAACTATTTGGTATTTATATGTGTGTCTTACTGTTTCACTTAAGAGTATGGCCTCAATGTGCATCCAGTTTCTCATTCTTTATGGCTGAGTGGTATTCCATTTTATAGAAAAACCACATCTTTATCCAGTCTCCAACTGATGGGCAATTGGGCTGTTTCCAAGTTCTAGCTATTAGAAACTGTGCTGCTACAAACATGGGTGCACATATATTACTGTGGTATGATTCTTTTAATTCTTTTGGAAAAATACCCAGCAGAAGGATAGCTAGGTCAAATGGAACCTCTAGTCCTAGTTCTTTGAGGTATCTCCATATTGATTTCCACAGTGGTTGCACCAGTCTGCACTTCCACTGACATTGGATAAGGGCTCCTTTCTCCCCACAACCCCGCCAACAATTGTTATTGTTTGATTTCTTGATAGTGACCATTCTTTGTGGGGTGAAGCGGAGTCTCAGTGTTGTTTTCATCTGCATCTCTTGAATGACCAGTGATATGAAACATTTTTTTCATATATTTATTTGCTGCTTTTACTTCTTTGTCTGAGAAATGTCTGTTCATTTCAGATGCCCATGTTTGAATCAGATTCTTATACCTGGGGGGGGGTCTGATTTTTTTGAGTTCTTTATTCTAGATAATAGACATTTGTCTGAGGAGCAGCTGGTAAAATTTTTTTCCCACATTGTAGGTCATCTCTTAGCTCTCTTGGTGTATTCTTTTTCAGTGCAGAAGCTTTTTAATACGATAAGATCCCAGTTGTTGATTCTTTGTGCTCGTTGCTGTGCTACTGATGGTTTGTTCATGAAGTCTTTTCCTATGCCAGTGTGTTCAAGAGTTCTGCCTAACTTGTCTTCCAGCAAGTTTAGTATTTCTTTTTTAATATTTAGATCTTTAATCCACTTGGATTTTAGTTTAGTGCATGGTGAAAGATAAGGGTCTAGTTTTAATCATTGGCAAGTTGAGATCCAGTTATTCCAACACCATTTATTAAAGAGGCTATCTTTCCTCCAGTAAGGATGGTCAGCTCCTTTGTCAAAGATGAGGTAGATGAGTACATCTGGAGCTGTTTCTGTATCTTTCAATCTATTCCACTGATCCTCAAGTCTGTTCCTTTGCCAGCACCATGCTGTTTTTAACACAGTGGCTTTGTAGTATAGTTTCAAGTTGAGGATTGTGATGCCCCTGCCATGTCTCTGTTGCTTCTAATTGCTCTTGTCATTCTAGGTCTCTTCTGGTTCCAAATGGATTTTTGGATTATTTTCTCCAGTTCTGTGAAATATACTGTTGAAATTTCAATAGGAATTGCATTGAATCTGTATAGCAGTTTTGGTAGTATGGCCATTTTCACTATGTTGATTCTTCCTACCCAGGAGCAGGGGATATCTTTCCATTTTCTTATATCCTTGATCTCTTTTCTCAGAGTGCTATAGATTTCAGTGTAGAGGTCTTTTGCTTCCTTCGTTAGACTGATTCCTAGATACTTCAGTCTTTGGATGCTATTGTGAAAGGAAGTGTTTCCCTAATTTCTCTCTCAGTGAGTCTGGTATTTGTGTATAAGAAGGCTATTGATGTTTGAGCATTGACTTTGTATCCAGCTACTCTGCTGAAAGTGTGAATTAATTCTAGAAGCCTTTTGGCACAGTTTTTTGTGTCTTCTATGTATCATATCATATCATCAGCAAATAATGACTGTTTCACTTCTTCCTTTCCTATCTTTATTGTTCTAATTTCTTTCTCTTGTCTAATTGCTGCGTCTAATTTTCCAGAACTATATTGAATAGGAGTGGTGACAATGGGCATCCTCATCTTGTTCTTGTTTAGCATGAAGGTTTTCAGTTTTTGGCCATTTCTGTTTTCTTTTTTCTATCCTTCTTTTTATCTTTTCTCAGAAACTTTTTTGTTTTATGTTCCAGTTCTCCTGCTCCAGACTGGAAGCTCTTCAGGGAAAAAGGGTGAGGGCTGCTTCCCACATTTCCACCCTTCCAGCCCATGACTCCTCTGTTCTGTTATGTGTGGGGTTGCTGAATTCAAAAGGCTCTGATTTGACTGCTGTGGAAAGCAAACTTTCTGTGTCTTGAGTGTGTGTGTGTGTGTGGGGGGGTGATACTCTGAGAAGGTGGAGGAAGAGCTACTTCATCAGTCAGGTTAGGAAGAATTGGGGTGCTTAGTATTCGCTGCAAAGTATGTGGCCATTCTTTTTTAGCTTCTAGCTCATGCCTGGCCCTAATCTTCAAAATTGTCTGACCCTTCAAAGTGTTGACCTTTATTTAAAATTGGTATCCCACCCTCCTTCCATCCAAGACGTTAATTTTAAACTCACTTTGGCTAATCCAGTTAAAACTCCTGTACTTTTTCTCCCTCTCCCCAAAATTTTGTCAAAATCTCTTTTCAGCTTTCTCTCTTTTTTTGTTTTTATTGGTTAATGATGTAAAAAAGTGAAATTACAGATAGTCAGAAAAGCATATATTATAGATACCAAACACTTTCTCAAAACAATCTACTTTGGTATTCTTTACAGTCATTTTAGTGGGTTTAGAGGAGAGGTGAATTTGAATGTAAAATTTCCATGCTTAAGTGTTTCAATATAGCCGTTTTGCAAATGAATAAGGAAAAGACCTAGAAAACCTGACTAGTCTATAAAGAAGCTGAGAATTCTGACCCTTGGGCATACAAATTAGAACACATCAAAATCCACCAGAGAGTTATATAATGAAAAATTGAATCCAATCTTCATCAATTCAGATGGTTCCCAGTTTTCACCATGAATACTCATGATTCATATATGTGGGGAAACTGAAACTCTTACCTAAGAATAGCATGTGGAAAACTAGAAGTGGTTAAGAACAAGGAGTTAATCTAGCAACTTGATGTCAACAGAAACCATGGTGACCAGAGAAGAGAGCATTCTGGCTCAGAGTGCATGTGAATGCCTTGTAATCTTTAATCTCAGGATTGCAAATCATTCTCTTGTGGTGTCTTTCTGCAGATGTTTCTTCTGTAGATTTTGCTGATAATGTATGTATAAATATCCAGGTTTGTCTCAAACAAAGCAGACAGTCTTTTGTCTCCACTCTGCCTTGAGTGTCTTTCCTTTTCAATCCTCACTCTCTCCTTCAGGTACTGTTCGACTAGTGGGAGCTGGTCCCCCACACATATATTGTACATGAAAATTTTTTGATACTCATGGACCTAGTCTAGGCTCTGGAACTGAGTGAACTGAGAGAGAGAGAGAGAGAGAGTGTGTGTGTGTGTGTGTGTGTGTGTGTGTGTGTGTGTGTTGGAAATAGATCACTGATGGAGACCACTCTGTGTATGTTACAAATCCATAAATTGGCTTTTCATATTAAAAGTCTGAGTCTGCCTGTTACCCCACAATGTCTTCCCTGAAGAGCCAGTAGTTGGTGTGTAGGAAAGGAGTAACTCTGCACACTAGCGGAGGTCTCAATGATCTGTGACGCTGTGATGTCTTGGATGGCAAGACAATAGTGCAGTGACTAACACTAAGGGCAGTGTGATGCTAAGGGCAGCACAACTTGTACAGCAAACTCCTATAAAGGCAAAAATGAATCCATGGGATGAAACACATTTCCCATTAATCAATGATCTTTTCCTACTAAAATATCTTGCTTCCTTGTTGCTAAAACCCTGCTTGTGTCAGTGCTCTCCTCTTCACTGATCCCTGCACCACCCCTTACCCTTTCTAGAAGCTGCATGTTTAATAAATAGTGGCAAACTCCAGGAGACGGTGTCTTAGCTGGATAACAGTTTTGACCATCCTGGGCCCTCCATTTATGCATTAAGATCTTGTCTTGTGTCTTTTTTTTTCTCACTGAGTTCATTGGTACATTTTAGGTATACAGTACAGTTACATTCATTATTGGGATCCTGTACCTTTACATGACAGGTCTTGGGTTTTTCCCCTTGTCCCTGCCCTCCCTTCACCCCTCCTCCCCTCCCCATTTACAAACACTTCATTTCCATTTTTTTCATTTTCTCCTATTTTTTTTTTCTTTCCCTTATTACCTTTCCCTTGCCCATCCTACTTTCCCTACACCTTTAGCCCTTTTCTTCTTATTTCACATTAACCAGCATGTTTTGATTACGTGCTGTGTGTAAACTGCTGTTAAGGACCAGGGATGCCTTCACTCTTTGCTTATTACTCAAACAGCTTATTTCATTGTAGTCGTGGTTGACATGAAATGGTAAAATATCTAACATGCCAGGAACACTCATGCTAGTTTGTGTCTTCTTTTTAATGCATCTGCCATACTCTTGGTCAGATGACTGGGGGAATCGGATCAGCCTGCAGTAGATCCCAGGACCTCACACAAGCTAGGCAAGTGCTCTGCCACCTTCAGTATCCTCTGATAGTGGCAGGAATAGATGGTCAGCCTCTGCCTCTCTCTGAGTGTCATTAAACAGTTTTTTCAGTTTTGTCTCCATTTTCTTTACTTGGCAAGTAGAGGAATTAAAAATCCTCATAATGAGGATCAACTGAAAATAAGATATAATGGATGCCTTAACGAGCAATATGCCTTACAATATGGGAAATATAGAAACACACCCAAAATTATTCAAAACCCTATACTGAGTATTAAAAATATATTGTACTATCCGAGTGAGACCAGATAGTCATGTTACCATAAGCATGGTGAGACTTATAATCCACATTGGTTTATCAGCGTTTGTCACATTTCTTTGTGAATAGAAATCCTGTGTGGAGTTTCTTAAATGTGGACCTCGGAGGCACACATCTAGGCAGTCTGTCGTGCAGGGGAGGACACAGAACCTGCATCTTATTGTGTTTAACAAAGGCCGCAATTGATTACATTATGGGTCACCTGTAGAATACCTGTAAATCATGAGTTTAGATAAACGGTAGCCCAAGTGCTATTGCTATTTCTTTTCTTTCTTTCTTCCCACTAATTCGCATTTCTTCTTAATTAATTAACCACCCAGGAAAAATTCACCGAGCAGGTAGCTTTCGAGGTCCTTATTACCTGTTGCAAGAATCAGGGCACAAAGCACCAAGCTGCTCCATCATAGCAGAAAACTGTGAGTGCCAGATAAAGGCTGAGCAGAGACTATAGCAGGGATGAGTTTATGAGCTTCCACACCTATGCACGCATGCCCACAAACACACACACACACACACTCTGAAGAGTTAAGTGCTTATAATAAACTGTAATATATATAATAATTTATAAACTGTAAAATATGAAATTATGAATTGTGTAATATAAAAACAAAAACCAATATTTAAATAATTAATTTTAAACCCAGTGAAACTATATAAATAGTAATATAAAACACACTACAAAAGTGAATATAAAATGCAGGCTGTCATGGGCGGGAGGACAGATGAGCTTTGCTGTGGCTGTGAGTGCGGCCGCTTCTGACCCCTGTGTGTGAAGAACGCCTCATATTCTACATACACGGCTGACCCGGGACCCTGGATCTCTGCACTCTTCCCCACTCACTGAGGAGCAATCCAATCTCCTCAGTTGGTTCAGCCACGAGTTCAATTTATTTTACTCTCGATTCTTTAGCCAGAAATTGCGATGTTTCGCTTCACTCTCCCTTCTCTCTCCAGTCATGCTGAAGTCATAACTTTCCCCTGCTAATTTTACCTCCAACCTACCTCTGTCTCCGGGCTCCCTTCTTCATCCAGCTGCCCGTATCTCACCGGGAGTGGCAGTACGTGCTACCTGACCCAGTGCTACCATCTCCAGTTTTTTTTATTATGCCAATTTTTTTTTAACTGTGTCAAAAATGATTTCATGGGGCTCACATTTGATCAAACCACTCCTTTAGCTTAACACATATGAGACTCTAGGCCAGGCTTTCTGCCACCTGATGCCAGTGCCGTTCCCATCATTTAACCACGTAGAGTCAACTCCTTGGGATTTTCGAGGCTTTCATATGAAAAAGCAAGTGCCTCTAGGAAGAATACAGCCTACACCTTCTTCAGGAAATACACATGCCAGCTAGACTGTGGAGGACAGGAAGAACGCCAGAACCCATCAACATGCCTGCTACTTTTTCACCATTACCTGGGCCTCGTACCTCTGATCCTCCGTACACTGAGACCCAACGGATGACTTGGTGCTCTCTTGAGTGTGAATTGCACTTTCACACCTTCATAACAGTGGCTATGCTTTTTCTTTGTTCTGGAATATTCCTTCCATTTCCGAAGTTGGGTAAGTACTATTTTTCTTCATTCGTTGTGTCATCATTTATCTGAGACTTGTTCCAAAAATATTCCCCTCAAGGAAAAAGTATTTGCTCTCACTTGTAATACTGAAATGTGATACCACATCATAGTTTATGGTACATAGTTGCCTCCTCTTTAGAATTTGAGGAAAGGGACTCTGCTTAATGAATCCTTGGATTTCTGCTTATTAAGAAATTTTAATTTTGTTTATTAGTCTGTTTGATAACATCAAAGGAACCCTCAAAGATTCTGTGATAATGATGCGGGGACGACGCCCTCTCCATGACCTACCCTGCATGCGTCATAGATGCCTTCCAGAAACCCAGCACAGAACATCCCAGACTTGATGTCGCTGCCGTACACATATGGCTGCCTACAGATGTCCTTGCTGATGAGCTGTACTCTGGCTTCTCGGAGATTGTTTTGGGATTCCCCTTAGGAAAAAGAAAACAGCTTTAGTTTTTCAGTCAGCATCCTGAGCAAAAGCAAGGAGAACAACTTTTTTTTTCAGTCGTCTCCATTGTAAAATTGTCAATTCAGCAAAAATATAAGCAGTTTTAGAGCAAGAAAATTTAATTAAAATAGGACACATTTAATGACAATGTCCTATCATATTTTTAGAAATATTTAATTAATTAATTTGTTTGTTTGTTTGTTTATCATTGAGACAGGCTCTCACTATGTAGTTGAGGCTGACTGATCAGCCCAGGCTGGTCTCGAACTCACAGTAAACCCCCTCCTCAGCCTCCTGAGTGCTGGGATTACAGGAGTGCACCACCACGTCAGGCTAGAAATACCTTTTTTATCCTCACTGAGTTTATTGGTCCATTTTAGGTACACAGTACAGTTACATTCATCATTGGGATCCTGTACCTTTGCAGGACAGGTCTTGGTTCTCAGTTTTTCACCTTATCCCTGCCCTCCCTTCACTCCCTCCTCCTTTCCTATTTAGAAATACTTTTATGTTCAAGAAAAACATTTGGTCTCTTTGCTGTAGAATCTTTGCCTCTTTACTTTCAAAAAAGGTTATTTTTATGGGTGGCATTGCACTTCTCACGAGGTTCATACTTGTGGTCTCAGGTTGTTCCCATGGACTTTGAATGCTTAGGTAGTCTTCTCTCTTACCTTCATAAAATGAATATCATACCATGTCCATTTATTTTATCCTGTACCCTTCATAGAGAACTTTCAGTTAGATAATGACATTAAATAATGATGCCTTCATCTTTTGCATAAGTTCGGGGCTCCAGATTATAAATCTATTATGACAGGCAGACTCACTCTAAAACTAGGATTGGCAAGCATTCTGGAATTCTTTATGCCAAACCACACACTCGTGAGGAAACCACAGCAGTCTGGTAGGCAGAATTCTAGGATAGCTCTCAAGATTGCTGTGTGATTCCTGTTTCCCCAAGTATGGGTGGGAGCCTGTGAATACGACAGACAGACATCACTCTCCCTATGAGGTTAATGGTTATATGGCAGAGGTGCAGGGATTTTGCAGTAGTAAGATCCATGGTTTAATCAACTCCAACTAATCAAATGGGAGATTACCCAAGTTGGGTGTGGCCAAATGAGGTAAGGCTTTTTCATCAATGGTTTAGAACTTCCCTAAATTTTAAGATGCTTTCTTAATGGCATTTAGGAAGTAAGTGCCATGAGTTCCACAGCTGCAAGAAATGAAATTCTGTCAAAAATTAGTGAGCCCAGAAGACAGAATGGAGCCACAGATGAGCCCACCTTATGGTCAACACTGTGACTGGAGTTTTGTGAGACTCTGAGAAGAGGACACTCCTAAGCTGTCTGAACTTCTCACTCACAGAAACTGAGGTTAACAAGAGAGTATTGTTTTAAGCTGTTAAATCTGTGGTAGTTTATTTATAGAGAACTGTAACAGAAAGCTAATATTTACACCATTTCAAGAATCTCAAGATCACTTGGAGATTTATTTGTGAAGAAGTGTTTGCAAATACATTTTTATAAGCGCCCAGGAAATATTAGCACAAAACTCAACAATATGCTCAGGGATTTTAAAACTGTCCTTCGAATACATTTTTTTTTTTTTTTTACCTATTACATTATCAATCTGGGGCAGGAGGATCATGAGTTCAAGGTCAGCTTGGGCTACACAGTGAGTTCAAGACCAGCTACAACTACTCAGCAAGATTCTGTCTCAAAACAAAACAAAATATTAAAAAAGAACAATCCCAAAGCCAAAAATCATGTCCAGTGCTGAGAAGGGTGTAAATTCAGATGATGGTGTAAATTCTTAACTGTTTCAACAAATTAGTTGGTAAAACACATTCTCAGTTAGAAAAAGCAAAAGCCATAAATTCTGGAAATTTCTGAACTTTTTCTTATATACTGTGGGAGTATTCAGTGACTTCAAAGTTTTGAATTCATCAAAGAATATATTTATATATTTGTTTGTTTCTTTGTTTTGTGGAGAAAGGGTCTCACAATATAGCTCAAGCTGATCTTGAAATAATATGTAGCCCAGGCTGGCCTCAAACTTGCAGCAATCCTCCTGCCTCAGTCTCCCAAGTGCTGGGATTACAGGCATGTATTACATGCCTGGCTCCAAGAATGAGGTTTTTATTTATCAGCGTTCTCTGTTGTTTTCTTATTTTCAATTTCATTCATTTTTACTCTTATTATTTATTGCCACTGTATGCTTTGCTTTTCTGTATTGATTTCTTCAAGTGAGAATTTTGTTACTTATTTGAAATATTTTTTTTCTTTTCTAATGGAAACATTAGCTACCAATTTCTCTTATTATTTTAGCTGCAGCCTGCACACGGGATTTAGTTTTCATTAAGCTCTCCGTAAATTTAAAGATTTTTTCCATGATACTCCTTTTTGATTTATGGTTGAGTTATTTAATTTCTAAGCATTTGAAGATGTTGCTCTTATCTGTTTGTTACTGATTTTTGGTTTGAATCCATTATAATCAGAGTGCCTACTTCATGTGATTTCAATTCTCTCATGCCCATTGTTTTGTATTATGCATCTGAACATGGCTTGTCTTGGGGAGTGACCCATGGGTGCTTGTCGTTGTTTTGCGTTCCAATGTTTGATAAATGCTAACATTTAGAATAGAATCTAAATTCTGTTGCTAGTAACATATCATGGCAGATATATATCTGTATGGTCTTAAAATATTGGCATAAAAAGATTTTCCTACAAAGCCACAAGGAATTTCTGATATTCCTCCCATCATTGTGAAGATGGGCTGCAAGCCCCACCTTAAGGTGTGTCCCTTCACAGAAAGTGTGGACAGAGAGATGTTAGGTTTGCCCTGTTACTGTACTGGAGTTGATGCACAGTGGGTAATATTCCTGTCATTAGCAGTATGACCTTAAAGAAAGCAATGCATATTCAGCATAGACCTAAACCATACAGGGTATCTGAGGAAAATATAGAGGCCGTGATGCTTATTCCTATGTAGTGAAAGAACATTCCTAGTTCCTCAGGAGAGACTAAACATTACATACAGCCTTATTTCTTCTAGCTTGCTGTATGAAATTAAATTACATAAAATTCTATATGTGCATTTTGTCATTTTGAGACAGTCTCCTTTCGTTTCAGGCCCAAAGTTATTTATTTTATTTTATTTTTTTGCTATTGTTACAGGAGAGTACTGATCAGTCCATCCGGATATCCCCGGCTTGCTGTTAGACACTTTTGCCACTATGTGGCGCCAGAATTCCTTCAAAGGAGCCGAAACAGGAAAAGCGGGCCGAGAGATGCAAGGAGTCAGGAACTCGGAGCTCCGAGATGTCCTGTGAACTCCTGGTTTGAGCCCTGACTTCTCGCACCTATTGATTTCTAAATCAGCACGATCAAATGTGTTGGTCGCCTGTCTTTGTTTCTAATTCGGTCAGTCGGAGGCGAATTTCCGTGATTTGCTAAGTCAGAACCCCGAGGAAGCCCGCGGACTGCGCTCGCACCGAGGCCTGGTACCCACCGCCGTAGTACAGCGCCCCGAACCCCGTGATGTACACGGTCGAGTTCGGCCGGAAGGACGCGGAGGCCGCGGGCAGGCAGATGCGGCGCACTTCGTCGGAGAAGGCGACTTTGGAGGCGAGCTGGACTACAGCGACGTCGTACTCCCTTGCCGGGGAGCGGTACCTCTCGTGCACGACGATCCTTTTGACATTTCTTCTCATTAAGGGAGGGCTTATTGTTGTTCCGAAACTAACAGTCCACTGGCGTGGATTCACACTACTGGAAAAATTTAGAAATTAACAGAATATATGAACCGTGCAGAAAATAGGGACCGTCTTAGAAAATGCCATTCTGACAATACTTGGTTGAAATTTAAATATAGTCTGCTTTTAGTATTTTGAGAGTTTAAATATGCATGGCATTTCATGTATCGTATATAGAAGAGCGAAGCACACACGAAGCTATTGTTAGCCTCCCGCAAACACTTACTGAGCATCTATGTGCTGAATATTACCAAAGTGATGTGATAAAGAGGTGGTCAAGACACGAGTTTCCAGCTTATGGGACTATTAGATTCAAGAACACACACACACACACAAATCAAAGCAGATTAGAAAGGAGACCAGTAGTTTAAGCAATAAGGATCATGAATAAAATAAAATAAGGCAACGAATGGAGTACTGAGGATATTTTGGAAAGTTTTTTTTTTTTTTTTTTGTAACACTTCT